CTATATCTTCCAACACCTGCAAGTCATCTTCTGGCTGGCAGATAACCTGACCACCCCTGCAGTTCTGCAGAAGTGAGGCCTAACAACTTTCCTCAGACCTGTGGCTGCCATTCCACTAGATCTTCCTTTCATTAGTGAGCCTAAGCCTGTAGGAGGGCTCATTGTATGGTCTTTGGGTAGAGAGGATTGTTTACAAGTAATGCAATTATAAGAACTTGCCAATATAAGGTGAGAGATTGTGGATGTAGTTATTTATCACAGGTATTTATCACACCTATAGTTTTTGGCTACCCATAAAGCGGAAGTGGAAATATCTTACCTAGATGCTTTAGAACCTCAAATAAGTTACAACTCAAGTTCATTTTAAATAAGGTGAAGTCCTTGGGTATTTTGAGAGAGTCTTATTTTATCTTCATTGGTTTTCCCTTCACAGCTATTAACTAAAGCTGTCAATTAATCACAGTTAATTCATGCAATTAATTTAAAAAATCATGATTAATTGCAATTTTAATTGCACTGTTAAAAATGGATTATCAATTGAAAAAATTAAATATTTTGGATGCTTTTATACAATATTCAAATATATTGATTTCAATTACAACACAAAATACAAAGTGTGCAGAGCTTGCTATATATTATTTTATTACAAATATTTGCACTGTAAAATGATAAACAACAATATTATTTTTCAATTCACCTCATAAAAGTATTTTAGTGCATTTTTTTAATCATGACAGCACAACTTACAAATGTAGATTTTTGTCACAACTGCACTCAAAAATAGAACAATGTAAAACTTTAGAGTTTACAAGTCCATTCAGTCCTACTTCTTGTTTAACCAGTCACTAAAAGAAACAAGTTTGTTTACTTTTACAGGAGATAATGCTCCTCACTTCTTATTTACAATGTCATCTGAAAGCAAGTTATTTACATGCCAGATATCCTGAACATTTGTATGCCCCTTTATGCTTCAGCCACCATTACAACAGACATGCTTCCATGCTGATTTCTCTTGTTAAAAATCATGTGTTAGTTAAATTTCTGAGGGAACTCCTAGGGAGGAGAGGAATTGTATATCCCTCATAGTCTGTTCTACCTGCATTTTGAAATATATTTTTACAGCAGTCTTTGATGGTAACCCAGCATATGTTGCTCATTCTAATCACACTTTCACTGCAGATTTGACAAAACACAAAGGTATCAATCTAAGATATCTAAAGATAGCTACAGCACCTGACGCAAGGTTTAAGAATCTGAACTGCCTTCCAAAATCTGAGAGGCGTGAGGCGTGGAACTTGCAGTCAGAAGTCTTAAAAGAGCAACACTCTGACATGGAAACTACAGAACCTAAACCACCACCAAAAAAAAAGGAAATCAACCTTCTGCCTTTGGCATCTGAGTCACATGATGAAAATAAATTGTGTTGGTCTGCAATTTTTTGGATCATTATTGAGCAGAACCCATCATCGGCATAGAATCTTAGAACACTAGAACACTGGAACTTGGAAACATGTCCTCTGGAATGGTGGATGAAACATGAAGGGACATGTGAATCTTTAGCACAACTGGCATGTAAATACCTGGCAATGCCGGCTACAACAGTACCATGTTGTTCTCACTTTCAGGTGACGTTGTAAACAAGAAGCGGGGAAAATCATGTCCTGCAAATATAAGCAACCTTTTTTATCTTAGTGATCGGCTGAACAAGAAGTAGGGCTGAGTAGATTTGTAGGCTTTAACTTTTTTTACATTGTTTTATTTTTAAATGTGGGTTTTTTCTCTGATCCTACATTTCTAAGTTAAACTTCCATAGTAAAGAGATTGCACTACAATACTTGTATTAAGTGAATTGAAAAATACCTGCAAATATTTAAAATAAAAATAAATTGAGCACTATAAACTTTATATTCTGTTGTAACTGAAATCAATAGATTTGAACATCTGAAAAACACCCAAATTTATATGAATGGTATTCTATTATTGTTTAGCAACACGATTAATCTCATGATTACAATTAATCATAAAATTAATTGTGACTAATTTTTAAATTGCTTGACAGCCCTACTATTAATGCAGAATCCAAAGTAGCTGGACAGAAATGTGCTGAAGAGGTATAGCACAACATGCCCATATGCTCCATTTACACACTTTGAATATCAGTATGGTGTTATTCCAGGCAAGCAGAGGGGAGAATCAGGTCCAACGTATTATTTACGCTATGAGAAGTCTAGAAAGCAGATCAGGAAGGAAAAATGAGGGATTAAAATAATGAAGGGCTATTGTAAAGTAATTAAAAATTGATAATTAGAAACTATTTTAACACACAAGAAGCAAAGAGCTTTGCAAGGAATCACTGGGGCCATTAAGGACTGAGTGGGAAGTTAGTGCCAGATGTAGTTGATACTGCTTAGAGCCTGAAATAATTCTTTGCTTCATTATTCACGCAAAGAAACTGAGGGTTAAGTCCCAGATACAAGATACAATGCATTTTCCTGAAGGGTCTTGGGAAAGGATAAAATGTTGAAAGACTCTGTGATTGAGCTGTCTGCTAAGGTATAAACTGCTCTATTAAAAGTGGAGAAGGCATCTAGTCCACATAAATTATATCTGAGAATGTTGAGGGAATTAGCAAGAGATATAGGCAAGGCACCAGATAGATTTGTAAGAGCTTGTGAGCAACTAAGGAAAGAAACTCACCAGATTTACTAATATAGTGTGAAGCAGTCTCTGCCTATACCATTGATGGGACAGAGAGTGGGAAAAGGGAATATGGTTTCCTCTTCCCTTCTCTGTGCATCCTGACAACCACAGAATCTACTTTTAGTGGAGCAAAGAGTGCACCTTCGGTAGCTAGAGAATTACTGTGCATCAT